GCGAAGGTCACCTCGATGGGTTTCCCTTGCCGTGTCGAACACATCGGTCCCCAGACTGAAACCCAGCCGTCGCCCCCCTGCCCTGTCCCAGACCCTCCTGCAGCCTCTCCTCCCGGGACTCCGCTCCGCTCCCTCCAGCCCTGTGTGCCTTTGGGGAAGGGGGAGCAGGAGCCGCTCGTCTCCAGCCGTGAAGGGGAGTGGGCAAAGCCACCTCCTTGCTGCAGGCGTTGGGGTCCGCCGGAGCCACGGTGTGACCTGGTTCCTCTCCTCGAGGGTTTTGCTGCTGAGAGCTGAGCCCCCAGCTCTGATCACCCTCACGTGCTCCGGGTGGGATCCCCGGTGGAGGAGCTCCCCCAGGACACATGCCTTGGGCAGGTCCCCCTCCTTCACTCCCAGCTACGAAGCTCCTTTCCTCATCGAAATTTCCCTTCCGACATTCCCGGTGCCCGGAGCGGAGGCTGATGGAGCAGCCCGAGCGAGCACAGCCTGCCCATAAAATGGCAGAGGAAGGCCAGAGCTGGCGGGTTGACGGCTTCTGTTGCTGGGGAGGTTTGATAGCCAGTTTCTCCGCACCCAGCGGGGACGTTAGAAGCGGAGGGGACTCTGAGGTGCAGAATTTATTTTCCATTTGAGAAATTACCATAGATTTCTGTGGAAGTGGAGCGCAGCCCTCGGGTTCCTGGCGGGCTGCCCACGTGGCTTTTGAAGTCGCAAAGCTCTGGACACGCCTGCTTAAAAGCGTTTTACGATGTTCTTCTCGAAGAAAGCCGAGTTCAAAGGAAAGGCTCCTCGGCTGGTGTCAATCAGCTGAGCCCTGCGATGGCTTGGCCAGGGCTGGCAGGGTCCACGTGGGCCGAGGGCTCAGACCACCCTGCCGGGGCACCGCTCGCGGCGCTCCGCGAGCCCTTACGGATGTGCCAAAGGAAACCATCGCCTTGCCCGGGCGAGGATGGATGTGCCACTTCAGGGCCTTTGAAGTGAAGTCGCGAGCTCCCGGCGGTCGTTAGCAGCCAGAGCCCAGCTGAGCTCGTTTTCTCGGCCGTATTCGGGATTCAGAGGGCGGTCCCCAAGAAAGTGGAGCAGGAGAGCAAGGGTGGTGGGGGAACCCCAAGCTTGTGGATGGGATGAAATTTAGCACCACTTCCCAAAGCGGCCTCAGCTCAGCACCGCAAATTTGGCAGAGCCGTTGTGGTTCAGCTGGTCTGACGGGCTGGATCCTGCTCACCAGAAGGACTTTATGCGGATGCTTCAGTGGTGGCCGGAGCAGGGCAGGGACTATCCCTCTCCAGCTGCAGGTAACGGGATGGTGGGACAGCCGTAGGTGACACATGCAAGAGTTGAGCTGTAAGGACACAGCAAGTGCAGAGGAGGCAAGAAAGCGGAGCATGAGTTGGGGCCCCGGCACACATGCCTGTGGCTCCGCATCGGGCTGCTGCCACTCACTCACCAGGCACCCGGCTGTTCCTCCACCCCAGTGGTCGCTGCTGTAGGACACGCCGTGTGCTGCCTTCGGCCCCCGGTTCCTCCTCTTTCCTCCCCCTTACCACCCATTTCTCCCACCTTTCTCTTTCCTCAGCTGCACATCACCAGCCAGACGTCCGCCGGGGAGGTGGTGAAGCTGGTGGTGCTCGAGATGAACGATGTGTCCCGCGGCGTGCTGGGCGACTCAGCCGCCTTCTGCTACGGCGAGGAGCAGCTGGAGCACTTTGGACTGGTGTTCGCCTTCGACGAGAGTGAACGATGGCTTCCCGATGACTTCTTGCCTCTGTCCCTCCAAAATTCCCAGCCCGAGGGGCGGTTCTACGTCCGGATCAAGGAGACGTCCCCACTGGTGCTCCAGTACGGGCCAGCGACCACCGTATGAGAGGAGGAGAGCCGGAGCCGGCCGGGCGGCGGAAGCTTCCGGAGAGCAGACAGCTCGTCTCTGATGCTTCCTTCTTCCACAGACACCCTCTCATCAGGCGTCCGCGGGGTGGAATGGGATCATACTGGGCTGTGTGTTATTTGTTTGTGTTTTTCTTTTTTTTTTTTTTAACCAAAGAGACATCGAGACTCAGTTTTTCTGACTGCAGAAGAGGAGGGTGGAGTGCGGAGACCTCAGAGCTTGGGAGGAATCTCTGCAGGAATGGAATTTTTGAAAGTAAACATTTTTAAGGGGAAATTTGAGGGGAGAGAGAGAGGAAAAATATTACAAGAAGAAGCAGCAATACCTTTTTCTTTCTTCTTTTTCTGAAAAGCCTTGTTTGGGATTCACTGGGATTGCTGGGGAGGGTTGTGGTGTCAACGAGGAGAGGGCACGAGTCACAAGGGCAGCACTGAGAAGGGTGTTCTCCCACCTGCCCTCCTTTCACTGCACCTGGAGAAACAATTCTTGCACACAGTTCTTGGAGCAAAACAATATTGTTATTTTATTTTCCTGGAAAAAAAAAAAAAAGGAATAATAATTGTGCTAAAGACACTGGAGTTGTGTAAGAGCTGAAGACCCTTTGGCTTGTTTTAAAGGCAAAAGGAACCCAGGCAGCCAGCCCCGTGCACGCCCAGATGTGCACACAGCTGTGCTGATGCCACCGGTAGAGGTTTGCTATAGGGCACCTACTGCAGCCCCCCGCGTGCCACCCTGGCATCGCCTGTCCTCCTCGGTTGCCGTTTCGTTCTGGTGATTGTGCTTGGCCTCTCCTGTACGTCCTACAGCATGACGTTTTGTCCGCCGCTAGGTCTCTTGTTAACAAGGTCATTTTTCTGATCTCCTGTGGTCCATAGTAAAGATGGCTGCTGCTGAGCGCGTATCACTCTCTTCCTTCTTGCGGCTCCATGCGTGGCGTGCCTTCATCCCCCCACATCAGCCCCGATTCCAAGGGCTGGGCTCCTCTTTCCCAGGAGCATTTAATGGGATGTTTTCCACCCAGTCGAGGTTTGCATTAACACACAAATCGCGTGTGTGGGAGCAAAGCACGAGTTTAAAATGTTTTTCTGGGCTTCATAGCTCTGCAAGGCAGTAAAAGCAGCTTTGGCATGCCAAGGCAGTCACCTCCGTGTGGGGCTGGGAACCTGAAGGTCGCAGGGCCCGAGCATCTGCAGTTAAATCCATTAATCTGGTCCTCCAGCACCCCCGGAGAAGAGCGTGGAGAGCAGCGAGAGCTCACAGCTGTATCGCAGCTGGCACGGGCACTTCCAAGCG